CGCTGGTGTTGTCATGATATTCAACTATTAATCAAAAGATGTGTGTTCTACGTAGCAGTTCGCTCTGTCCTCATTTATGGCTGTTGAGAGTAGACGATATGAAAGGATTAGTTATTTTGGACTACATAAGTTCGCATTCTGTTTCCTGTGGCAAGTAGTGTAATATGAGCATTATCAAGATTACACATGAAACAATCTCTAAGAAAAATGGCACCATAATTAGCTCCCAGAATAGACGACTGGAACGCTGGAAAGAGCACTATAAGGAGCAGTTTAATTGGCCTACAGCCACGCTCAACCTGCCGAACATCCAACACCTCCCTGAATGGGATATAGACACAGGTCCTCCGTCCCTAACTGAGGTTACAAAAACTGTCACTAGTCTGAAACAAAGCAAAGCAGCAGGACCTAATGGAATAACTCCAGAAGTATTTAAGTACGCAGGAGACAATTTACTGTCTGCACTAACTGAGGTACTAGGCAGCGTCTGGGAATCAGGGGAAGTCCTGTCGGGTTGGTGTAAGTCACTGATTATCCCCATATACAAGAAGGGAGATAAGTCTTCCTGTGATAATCTCAGAGGGATTAGATTGACTAATATAGCATCTAAAGTCCTAGGCTCAATAATATTGCGTAGACTTAGTGGTGCCAGTTTACGCCGTCTCTGGTGTAGACGTGATATCCGGCTATCGACCAAAGGGCGAGTGTACTGCTCATCAGTCCTCTCCGTCCTCCTTTATGGTTGTGACACCTGGCCATTGACAGTGGAAGACATAAAAAGATTAGCTGTCTTTGATCACAGGTGCCTGCGTTCTATCTCCCGTGTGAAGTGGTATAATAAGATGGGCAATATTGAGGTTAGGTATCGGTCGAGTGCTAGGTAAGGAGGGGAAATCAATCAACGAGGCTGGGAAATTACATCGACTGAGATGGTTAGGACATGTGTTACGCATACCTAGCCGTCGCCTTCCTCAACTGACGGGCAATGTTAGCTGACATAGGGTCAAGCTGGAAAAGAGACAGCTAGCAGCGGTCAAACCAAAACATGGCTTCACCAGTCAATGAAATCCACAACAGTTAGTCTAAGCCACGTAGGAAGGTGTAGACTTCCTGGTTGGGGGGTGTCCTCGAGACGGTAAAAGCCAATGGTTGGAAACAATTTGTGACTTGGCTCAAAATCGTTCTCATTGGCTGTCGCAGATGCATCCGCTCCTTGTGACTTATGATTTCAAATGAAACTGTTTTGTTCTTCGTTATTACTATTCTTTTGTCTCACATCTCTGATTACTGTCTATATTATGCATTTCTTCTCTTGTTTTGTGTGCTACAAGGAGGGAGTGTGGCGACTTGAACTGCTGCACATTGGTGCAAAGTTCTGTGTCGAATACAGACAGACAGACAGACAAGGTTAGACAGTGTTAGGTAAGAAAGCGAAGTTAGTCGATGAGGTTGTGAAGGTGAATTTATTGAGATGTCTAGGATATGTGCTATACATGTGGAACCATTCACTTTCGTATTGAGAGATCGTAGGTGATGTAGGATTAGTTTGGGAAAGAATTATGAGTAGTGAAATCAAAGCTTGGAATCAATCTGTGAAGTCTTTCAAAATTGGCTTGAGACAGTCACTTAGGGATGTGTAAACTGCATGATTGGGAGGGGGGGGGGGTCCTCAAAACACTAAGAAACACTAGTTGCAGACTGTTGGTGTGATATATTGTTCAAAAATGTCCTTAGTGGTGGAGATGTATTCACTCTTTGTAATCTCCTGTATCCACTATACCTTTGGGTTTCTCCGTGTTACTATTCTCTCTCCCTTTCATTTTGATATCGTTTTTTTTGCTATCTTTGTGGCAAAATGAAATACTGCACTTCTCTGAAAAGTTTTGCGTTAAAAATCCAGTAAGTTGTGTGAAGGGGATATTACATGGAGGATTTCATCATGAGCTGACATCAGTTAGAGAACCATTGGAAAACCTGGGAGTACTGGACAGCTGTTTCGTCCTTGTTTGGGACTCGTCGGTAGTTAGAGCTCTTATTGTAACCAGAAGGTCCTGGGTTCGAGTCCCGGTGGGTGCGTACTGTGAGGGGATACTGTCAAGAAAGAACTAGCTAAATTATTAGATGTGTAAATTGACAGCTACTTATCTCTAGTAATAACTTAAGTCGTACTACTAAATACAATAACAATCTTATTGATTTCAGTTTCTGCGGATATCTATTTTTGCTCTATTTGCGATGTATAAACAGGGGAAACTCCACTGTGCATACAAATTATTAACTGCAATAAAGCCCTCCTACGTCGCTGACTCAGATCACTAATCAAAGACTTCAAATATATTGATTTCAGATTCTTGTTTGACAACACCTAACTCTTTTCCAAACTATGATCGTATCTCACCTAACATTTCTCAACAGCAGAGGCAACGGGTTCACACGCGTAACACGTACCCTAACCATATATTAATCGATGTAGCTTCATAACCTCATTGATTGACTCACTCTCCTTACCGCTAACACTATACCTAACATCACATAACACCTGTGCTAAATAAAGTATGGCTGAACAGTTAACATCCACCCTTAATGAAGTTTAATGATATCACAGTTGTCTCAAAGTGTTAATGTTTGACAAAAGAAAAAAACTCAACATCTTTCCGGTTATCAGAGACTTCTGAATGGTAGAGATATTATAAGATTTATGAGTTTAAAATCTTTAAACTTGGCAAACTTATAATTAGTAGTAGTGGTAGTAACGAAATTCTCAAGCATCTTCCTGGAGAGAATCAAACACGCCATCCTGGATGAAAAACTTCGACCGGAACAGGCTGGATTCAGGAAAAACAAGTCTTGCATCAATCAAATCGCAACACTGCGGATCATCATTGAACAGAGCTTGAAGTGTCAGTCAGTTCTCTACCTCACTCAACTTCATCGCCTTTGGCAGCGTCGATCGAAAGGGGGTGATTTGGAAACTACTTCGCTACTATCAAGGGGTGCCGCCGACAATTATGCATCTCATCCAACAGTTGTACGACAATGCTGCATGCCAAATAATCCACAGTGGGAAGCTCACGTGATCCTTCGAAGTGAGGACGGGAGTAAGACAATGATTTTTCTGATTGCAGTAGACTGGATAATGTGACAGACAGACAGCGGGCTGGGCAACGAGGGGACAGGCATAAAATGGACCCACACAAAAACTTGAAGGATCTGGACTTCGCCGATAATATATGTCTGATTTCCCACAAACCGGAAGATATTCAAGTGAAAAGCAACAAATTGGCAGAGAAGCTTCAAAGATAGGACTTCAGGTGAACATAGAGAAAACAGAGGTGATGAAGATTCCTGGGCAACACCACCACCAGCAACAACAACAGACAACAATCAGCATAAATGGGAGGAACCTGAAAGAAACAACCTCTCTTACCTACCTGGGAAGCATCGTTTCAACTACAGGCGGACGGAACTGATGAGGATATCAAAGCGGGGGTCGGGAAGGTCAGGTAAGCTTTCATTACTCTCAAGTCTGTGTTGTGACTTGGCGCCGCGTCACGAGGTGTACTTCGAACAAGCTACACACCTTCATCAACAGCTGTCTTCTCAAGATCAGATGACCAGCCAGGATAGATCAGCAACAGGGAGGGATCTCTGGCAATGAACGAACCAACCCCGCAGGAACCAGTTGGGCAACAAATATGCAAGAAGAAATGGAGGTAGATGGATTGAAGGCCATACTCTGAGAAAACAAACCACTATCAAGTGAGTGACATCACACGCCAGGCCATTGCTCGAGTGTAACTCTAATGCGAAGTGGCGAGTTAGTTGGTCTTCAGTGCGAGGGTGAGATGGAGTTGAGGAGGTCATGTGAAGAGGAGATGAAAGTTCGTGGGCAGATATATATCCAAGTGAAAGTGTCAGCAGAGAACCGAACGCAATGGATGGAGACGTGTGGCTGAAGCCCTATGTTTCTCTGAGAACTAAAGAAGATAATAATAATACTGTCTATCTGTCTGTTTCTCTTTGTTTTCGGCATAGAACTTTGCACCGATGTGCAACAGTTCAAGTCGCCACACTCCCTCCTTATAGCACACAAAGCAAGAGAAGAAATGAAGAATAGAGACAGTCAACAGAGATGTGAGACAAAGGAATAGTAATAACGAAGAACAATATAGTTTCATTGGAAATCATAAGTCACAAGGAGTGGATGCATCTGCGCCACTGAAAACGAATTTTAGCCATGTCACCAATTGTTTCCAACCATTGGTTTTTATTGTCCCGAGGACCCCAACCAGTCAGGAAGTCTACACCTTCCTACGTGACTGGCTGTTGTAGATTTCATTGACTGGTGAAGCCATGTTTTGGTTTGACCGCTGCTAGCTCTTTTCCAGTCTGACCCTATGTCAGTTAACATTCCCCGTCAGTCAGTCGAAGAAGGCGATGACTAGGCTAGGCATACGTAACACATGTCCTAACCATCTCAGTCGATGTAATTTCCCAACCTCGTCGATTGATTTCCCCTCGTTATCCACCTAGCACTTGACCGATGCCTAAGCTCAATATTGCTCACGAATAATAATACTCAAAACTTTAAATTTCAAAATGCTTATTAGCTGTGTCGCCAGCCATACAAAGTCGCTTAATCACTTCATCTTATTGGTTTATATATATATATATATATATCTATACGCGTGGACTGCATAATATTTACGCTAATCAATTTTATATAATTTATTCTTTAGGTTTATTGGATGAGTTCGACAAATCAAACTGCATCGATCTAATCACCTTGAGTGACGCAACAAGCATACAAATACTTTTGTAACGTGTAATAAAATATCAAGACAGATAACTTCTCAGCACTAGTCATCATCAATTCTCTCTCTCTCTCTCTTGATGTCTAAAATATGCACATTGAATTATTTACTCTTATGCACTGGAGTCACTATAACGTAAGAAAAAAAATTTTTGCTTTCTTTAAATACACTGGATTTTATTTTTAGCATTATACTAATATTACTCATGAAATCAGACCGGTTGAATGAGATTTTCACGCATAGTATGAAACCGAATGGTTCTCAGTGCATAATAAAGGTTAGTTAGTTGGTTGTGTTAATAAAACTTGTCCAACTTTAAAATTTAATTTAGCCAACGTTTATTCATGTTGTTTGTTTGGTTGTTTGTCTGTCTATCTTATGAATGTTTTGATATTGTCAGCAGGTGCGCCGTCATACCATACTACTAATCTGTCAACTGTATACTTTAATTGAATATCAATATAATATTATTGATCTGTGTAATTTGTGTGTGTGTCTGTGTGTGTGAATTATCTATGGAGTTTGTATTCGTTGCTTTACTCTGTTCACGAAGCTGTTTGTCATTTTTTTTTTAAAAAGAGAAAAGAAGTCTGGCTTTCTCCTTAGACTGTATATTAATTATTATTATTGTTGTTCCCTTGGGTTCCTAGTGGAACATAGGGCTTCAACTGCACGCCTCCACTTGCTTCTGTCTTCTGCTGTACTTTTCACCTGCATCCATGTTAGTCCATACTGTTTCAACTCTTCTTCACACGATCTCCTCCATGTCACCCTTGGACGTGGGACACTCGCCGCTTCCCTTTCGGGTCCCACTCCAGCGTTGGCCTGACACGCGATGTCACCCAGCGGCGTCCTCAGCGAGTGTCCAATCCATCTCCACTTTCTTGTTTTGTTTGTTCCCATAGTTTCTTGTTGGTGATTCTTTCCGTCCATCTGATCTGTATATTAATGTGTTGTCAATAAACTACCTACGGAGTGAGGGAGTACCTTACAGACTGTAGAGTTTAGGAAAATGAAGGGAGAATATTTAGAGTTTTTTTATCACCAAAATTGTAGACTTCTCACAGACCGCACAGTTCATTGGCTTAAACAGTTGACTTCCGATCAGTGGATACAGAGAGGGCTAGTTTCGCATATGCGCCCCTGTTTACGCCGTCTCTGGCTTAGTAGACATGATATCCGGCTGGCTGTCGACCAAAAGGGCGAGTGTACTGCTCATCAGTCCGCTCCGTCCTGCTTTATGGCTGTGAGTGACACATGGCCATTGAGAGTGGAAGACATGAAAAGGCCGGCTAGCTGTCTTTGATCATAGGTGCCTGCGTTCTGCCTCCCGTGTTAGGTGGTATAATAGGGTGAGCAATATTGAGGTTAGGCATCGGTTGAGTGCTAGGTAGGTGGGAGGGGAAATCAATCGACGAGGCGGTTGTGAATTTACATCGACTGAGATGGTTAGGGCATGTGTTACGTATGCCTAGCCGAGTCATCGCCTTCCTCGATTGACGGGGAATGTTAACTGATATAGGGTCAGACTGGAAAAGAGCTAGCGGTGGCCAAACCAAAACATGGCTTCACCAGTCAATGAAATCCACAACAGTTAGTTTAAGCTAGCCAGCCACGTAGGAAGGTGTAGACTTCCTGACTGGTTGGGCTCCTGGGGACAGTGAAAACCAATGGTTGGAAACAATTGGTGATATGGCTCAAAATCGTTCTCAATGACTGGCTAGCGCAGATGCATCCACTCATTGTGACTTATGATTTCCAATGAAACTATATTGTTCTTCGTTATTACTGTTCCTTTGTCTCACACCTCTGTTTACTGTCTCTATTTTTCATTTCTTCTACTTTTTTCTCTTGCTTTGTGTGAGGAAGTGTGGCGACTTGAACTGCCGCACATTGGTGCAAAGTTCTGTGTCGAAAATAGACAGACAATCAGTGGTTCTCAGGCTGGGATCCCTCTCCGCCTATGTTAATCCGAACGACTGGGTAGTATCATTTTTTTCCTTCACGTTCCCCAGTGGAACATAGGGCTTCAAGCTCGTGGCTTGAAGTTTCTGTAGCAGTGTTTATTTTACGGGATGGGGTTGCTAGTCTCATGCCTAACCTTTCCTCTTCACCAGCATTATTTCTGGCTTAGCGAGGTAAAGGAGTGCGTCGGTGGCCGGGGATCGAACCCCGGACGATGTGCATGGTCGCCAGCGTCCTAACCGCTATGCCACCGACACGAGTAGTATCATTAGCTGTGAAAAAAATAAGTGTGGTTCATAGCCTGGAACGTGGAGAACTAGTTCTGGGAACTAAGTTCTCTCTCAATGAGTTGGCGACATTGTTAGTCGTAACACATGAATTCAGATTTTTACGATTATACATCCATTATACATTTGATGAGGCCTAAGATTACTAGGAATTTATAAACTTTTAGACAACACTAATTCATTCCAAAGTAGTTAGCAGAAATTTCACTGATAACTCAAGCTATTTGACAAATTTTGTACGTTGAAGACTGTATGAAAGGGTATTTTGCTTCAGGCCATCATCTAATTTTTCCTGAGCGTGCATACAACTGAAAGACTTCATATGAATTAACGCAGGGCTACTTAAACGAGTCAGCCGTAGAAGCTGTCTTTTCCTTGTTTATGATGCACTACGCGCCTATGACTACACCACTACTCGAACCCAAAATCTTCAGCGTACCAGAAGGGTACATTCTTGATCAGACAGGGAGAATCCACATTAAAATTCACTAATGAGCTGGAATACATGCCATAAAGAACTGATTCAAATGAATCACCTGAGGAGACAAAAAAGTACACAGGAGACAGAAATCACTCACTGTTAAAAATCCTAACAGTATTGTGTACAACTAAGTTACTCGTAAGCGGCTTTTCATATACCTAACTATGAATCACACTTTTGTAACACCTGAAGATGTTACCTGGTTTCCCGGGGTAACATAAAATATTTAATTTTCTGTTGTTTTCATGTCAGCCAAATGGTATCTGACTACCGTATGATGAGCCATTTTCGTAATAGACTTCACAATTCTTCTGTGCCATCCTAATAGGCCTACGGCTGAACGGACATGGGAGACAGGTAGCTCTGAAGCGACTACACCCCAACCTAATGTGAAAAAAGTTAATGCTCTACTAAGGGAAGAAACAGCTAGACGTGTATCTGAGATCGACATCAAGAGTTATTCTAAAGGGAACCTGCAGCAACATCTAGGCTTGAAGTGAATACCAAGGAAGCGTATCCTACTAATCGAAGCACCCTACTCTAGCCCACTCAGTCGTATAAGAGATTACGGAATGATAATAACCAGTGGTGCCTCTCCAGGGATGCCCGTCGTCCCCATTTTAATTTCATTTGATGATAAATGTGCTAACGGATATGTATCTAGCTGACTTGTTATCAGGGTACAGTGTCGTTGACCTGAAGCATGCGGATGATGGTATCCTTTTAGGTGAAGACACTGGCAAAATGCAGTCTTCTGAACACCTTGAGCAAGCAGTGTTGCTGTAATGTTGCATAACTGGTGTGCATTGACTCCAAGTTGAAAGATAGTGAGTTAAGCTTGTTGGTGGTGACTTCACTTATATGGGAAGTTGTATCGGCCCCAACGGACTGACTGACTGACTGCTGACGAAATCCCTGAACAGATACGAAAGGTTTATGTAGAATTTGTCATCTCTGATGTAGACATGATATCCGGCTGGCTATCGATCAAAAGAAATATGCGACTGCGCAACAACTCGCTCCCTCCTCCTTTATGTTTGTGAAACGCGGCTGTTGGCAGTGGAAGACACAAAAAGACTAGCTGTCTTCGACCCTAGATGTCCGTGTTTTTTCTCCCATGTTAGGTGATATAGTATGTTAAGTAATAATAAGGTTAGACATACATTATAATAAAGGTTTTTGTACTTCCCAATGAATTAAAAACAAAACGATATTGTCGGTTTTACTGACGTTTCGCTATTTAATACTAATAGCTTTATCAAACTAGTATTATTAAACCAGAATTTACAAAATCTCAGCATATACATATAACAAAGAGTTACGAGGTGAAAAAACAGACTTAGGTCAAGTTAAAAGGACATATTGAAAGTCAAAATAACAATGAAGATCACTAAACCAAATAACAAAGGTAATAGTACATCTGTTATGGTATCATCAAAACAAAGTTTACTAACTTGATCATCGTTCGTCAGTCTGGGGTCATTTTTCGTTGTCAAGTTGGCCAGTTGGTAAAGATAACAAAACCAGGTAGGTGTAGATTGTTGGATTTGACCAGTGTGTAAAATTATAAAAGTAGTGTGTTTACATAATGAAATTGCTTATCACATTCGTGTTGATTTTGTCATTTCATGGGGGAGGAAGGTGTTGTAACCAGGTCAGATTCTGTTTTAGTCCGTCATTCCTATTCAGGCAATTTGGATTCCACTTGATATGAAGTGTTTCTGATATTAGATGTTCTTTGTGATATCTGCAGTTTTTCTGAATTATTTCAATATTGTCAAAATCAATTTTGTGGCCTGATTCCATAGTGTGAAGACCAGCTATGGCTGGTTGATGATTTTTCAAGCTTTTCTAGACCAACCGGATTTCTCGGTGGTCGAGCAGATGCTCTACGGTGTTCATTTCTTCTGATTTTGATTTCTTTCTGGCGATGTTTGTCCGATGTATATCGACACAATTAGATAAAGAATCTTCAGGGATTTGGTCTTTTATATGTATGCTGAGATTTTATAAATTCCGGTTTAATAATACTTTGATAAAGCTGTTAGCGGTAGCATTAAATAGCGAAACGTCAGTAAAACCGACAATATCGCTGATTGTTTTTCATTCATTGGGAAATACAAGAAAACCTTTATTATGATGGATATCATATACCCAATGCCCAAATTTTTCAAACTGTTAAAAGTGGACTTGGTTTGGACATATATAAGGTTAGACATAGTTTTTGTTTAGGAAAGAAGGTTAAGTTAATTGATGTGGCTGTAAAGCTGCATTGATTGAAATGGCTAGGACATGCCCGGGCCATTGTGTTCCTTGTCAAGAAATGTTAGGTAACATAGGATTAAGTTGGAAAAACTCCAAGGGTGGTTAGATCGAAACCTGGCATCAGTCCATCATGTCTATGACTGTAAGTTTAGATTAGTGATGTATGGCTGTGTAGACTAACCTGACTGACATCCTCGGGATGCTAAGAACCAATGGTGTGAGAGTGTTAATGACATGAAAAGATTATCTGTGTTCGATCATAGATGTCTGCGTTCTATCTCCCGCGTGAAGTGGTATAATAAGATGAGCACTATTGAGGTTAGTCGTCGGTTAAGTGCTAGGTAGGTGGGACGGGAAATCAGTCGACGAGGCTGTGAAGCTACATAGACTGAGATGGTTGGGACATGTGTTACGTATGCCTAGCCGAGTCATCGCCTTCCTCGACTGACGGGCAATGTTAGCTGATATAGGGCCAGGCTGGAAAAGGGCTAGTGGCGGTCAAACGAAAACATGGATTCACCAGTCAATGAAATCCACGACAGTTAGTCTAAGCCACGTAGGAAGATGTAGACTTCCTGGTTAGTTGGGGTCCTTGGGACGGTGAAAACCAATGACGGCTGGAAACAATTGGTGACATGGCTCAGAATCGTTCTCAATGGCTGGCGAAGATGCATCCACTCCTTGTGACTTCTGATTTCCAATGAAACCGTTTTGTTCTTCGTTATTACTATTCCTTTGTCTCACACCTTTGTTTACTGTCTATATTATGCATTTCTTCTATTTTCTTCTTTTGCTTTGTGTGATACACGGAGGGAGTGTGGAGACTTGAACTGCCGCACATATGTGCAAAGTTCTATGTCGAAAACCGACCGACCGACCGGACCATGTGCATGGTCGGCGAGAGTCCTAACCACTGTGCCACCGATTGATTCTTAGAATAGAACTTTGTTGAATGAAACCAGTGTTACGTAATATGGCAGTTGTTTTTATTCGACACAGTAATTTAGTGGTAAGCTGAAAACTGTCCCGCAATAAATTGTAATATCCTCGAGGTATTCAACTACAACATGAGTTATTCGATAATATTTTTCTTCAAGTCTTATTGGTTGCTATTATTGTATCCGAAATACACACCACAACCACCACCACCAGTAGTTAATACTATATATCTGGTCTTCACTGATCAGCTCTATTTTGGTACATGAACTCCTGAAATATACGTCTAGAGATTATCAGGACTAGGATGTGTGAGTTTAGTGGGGTGGCTAGCAGTAGGCTCCATTAGGGGATAAAGCTTTGACGCGTTGGTAGGCGGCGGGTATTGATTGAGCTGTAGTCTCAGCGCAGAATATCATTACTAACTTGAAGAGCTAGTACATCCAGATGGCGAGCCCTGAAAGGACGAAATACACGTCTCCTGGAATCCGTTTCGAATTCATCTAAATGCAGAGTCTTCTAAACACCTTGAGCAGCAATCTTCGTATGTGTGACATGCGATTCGCCTCTGTGAGATGCTGCTACATGACTGGACTACGTCAACTCCTAGCTTAGTGATAGGGAGTAAAGTCATACAACATGTTGACCACTTCACCTATTTGGGAAGTTGTATCAGCACCAACGGATTGATTGGTGACGAGATCTCAGCACGGATTCACAAAGCTCAAGCTGCTTCCGCTAACTTACACCGTCTCTGGCGAGCGCGTAACATTCGGCTATCAACCAAGGGACATGTGTACTGCTCAGCAGTTCGCTCCGTCCTTCTCTATGGCGGTGAGACGTGGCCATTGAGAGCGGAAGACATGAAGAGATTGTCTGTTTTTGACCACAGATGTTTACGATCTCTTTCTCGCGTTAGGTGGTATAATAAGGTAAGTAATATTGACGTTAGGCGTAGAGTGTTGGTTGGGCAAAGAGGGAAAATCAATCGACGAGGCTATAAAGTTACATAGATTGAGATGGTTAGGTGACGTACTGCGCATGCCTAACCATCGCCTCCCCCGACGGACGGGCATTACTAGCTGGTATAGGTGTTGTGGGTTGGAAAAGAGTAAGCGGTGGCCAAACAAAAACATGACATCAATCCATGAAATCCTTGACAGTTAAACTGAGTCAGGTAGGGAGGGAGATGCAGACTTCCAGGTTGGGGCCCGCCCTCGAGACTCTAAGAATCAATGGCTGGAGACAATAGGTGAGTGACATGTCTCAAAATCGTTGTCAATGACTTACGCAAATGTATTCAGTCTCTTGGGTAATCTTTCATATTCCTTTCTACCATTATTCATTCTGTTTCACTCTTATACTTGTCAAAACTCTATTGATTCTCTTCACTTATTTTCTTGTCTACTTTGGTGTGGTATTTGGAACGTGGCAACTGGAACTGCTGAACTTCGGTGCCAAGTTCTATGTTGAATCCAGCTAGCCAGCCATCTATTATTACTATTCCCTTGGGTTCCGAGTGGAACATATGGCTACAGCAGCACATCCCGGCCTATTATCACCAGTGATATTTCCAGTTGTAGTGAACTGGATTATGTGTCAGGAATACGCTGAACCGATAAGAAGACTCTAGAAGATCTGGATTTCGCGGAGGATTTTTGTTTAATGTCACACAGACTCGAAGACTTGCAGGCGAAAAGCAACAAAATGACTGAAGAAGAAGCAGGCAGTGAAGACAGGACTCCAGGTGAACATAGAGAAGACGAAGTGATGAAGATAACCAACCAACACCAATAACAACAACCAGCACCAATCATCATCAAGGGGAGAGATTTGACAGAGGTTACTTCCTTCACTTATCTAAGATGCATTGTTCCAACCACAGGTAGAACGGATGAAGATTTCAATTCCAGAATTCGAGAGGCAAGATAGACCTTCACCAATTTGGAAATCTTCTGTTATCGACCAGCATAAAGAACAAGATTCAGATTTTCTACATAAATGTGAAGTCCGTCACTGCTTCTATGTGGGTCGGAAACTTGACGGGCGAAGCACGAAAAGCATTTCCAACAGCCTGCTACAGACTTTTATCAACAACTGCCACATTCGCTGGCTGGCTGGCTCCATACTGAAGATCAAATGGCCGGGCGGCCGGTCAGACAGAAAGAATTAGCAACAAGAAACTCTGGCTGGGAACAAACCAACAAGCAAGAACCTATTGCAGAGGAAAATGGGGATGGATTAGGTACACACTGAGAAGATCATCGAATGACATCGCGCTCAATGCAGGCCAAGTGGACTCAAGTGGGATCTGAATGGGAAGCAACGAGTTTGGCGTGGGTCCGAGGGTGACATAGAGGAGGTCATGCGAAGAGTAGATGAGAGATTATGGACAATCGTGGAGCCATGTAAAGAGGACAGTAGGAAATAAAAGCAAGTGGAGGTGTCTGGATTCAACATAGAACTTGGCACCGAAGTTCAGCAGTTCCAGTTGCCACGTTCCAAATACCACACCAAAGTAGACAAGAAAATAAGTGAAGAGAATCAATAGAGTTTTGACAAGTATAAGAGTGAAACAGAATGAGTAATGGTAGAAAGGAATATGAAAGATTACCCAAGAGACTGAATACATCTGCGTAAGCCATTGACAACGAATTTGAGCCATGTCACTCACCTATTGTCTCCAGCCATTGATTCTTAGAGTCTCGAGGGCGGGCCCCAACCTAGAAGTCTGCATCTCCCTCCCTACCTGACTCAGTTTAACTGTCAAGGATTTCATGGATTGATGTCATGTTTTTGTTTGGCCACCGCTTACTCTTTTCCAACCCACAACACCTATACCAGCTAGTAATGCCCGTCCGTCGGGGGAGGCGATGGTTAGGCATGCGCAGTACGTCACCTAACCATCTCAATCTATGTAACTTTATAGCCTCGTCGATTGATTTTCCCTCTTTGCCCAACCGATACTCTACGCCTAACGTCAACATTACTTACCCTATGATGTCACCTAACGTGGGAAAGAGATCGTAAACATCTATGATCAAAAACAGACAACCTTTTTCATGTCTTCAACTAGTATTGACTATGTTTCAGAGCCATAGAGAAGGACGGAGCGAACTGCTGAGCAGTACACATGTCCCTTGGTTGACAGTCGGATGTCACGCCTACGCCAGAGACGGTGTAAGTTAGCGGAAGCAGCTTGAGCTTTGTGAATCCGTGCTGAGGTTTCGTCAGCAATGAATCCGTTGGTGCTGATACAACTTCCCAAATAGGTGAAGTGGGGGTGTGCTATATTACCATTATTATTATTTTTGCTGTTCTCTTGGGTTCCTAGTGGAACATAGGGTCTAACCAACACATAGGCTAGCAACCGTACCCCTGTTAAAAGACACCTCTGCTTCTGACATTCTGGAGTTCCACTTGGGTATGCAAAGGAATAAAAAACCAATTAATTTTTATATACACTGTTGCTCACTTACAATATGAATCGACTTTCATCTTCTTAATGCTATTTTTATTTTTTTTTATTTTACAGGATGGAAAAAAAACATGTGCGGATAGTAGTACATATCATAATTCATTTAGTTCATTTCGTCGTTTCCTGATTTTCGAATGTCTACTAACACTTTTGGGATTATGCAGTTTTGTTGTCATTCGTCATAGACAAAAACGATTGGACAGAAAACTTATTCAAAGAGTCAATCTTCAAATTGCCACTGGAGTTTAATGCTACATACATACATACTTTGAGGTGTATTGAAATGTGTATATTTTCACTGTGATAACACCATTTGTTTTTTCTCTCTCTCGTTGTAATGAGGTTTCCTTTTCTAGCTTAAATTTATTGTTTCCTCTCTTTGTTGATTATGTTTTTCTCTTGATGCGCATATACATACTACTGTAAAGATTTTTATGTACATTATTATTCGTTATCGTTAGCATAGAGAAACAACGTCTTCTGATTGGTTGCTTTCCTGCTCAAGGTTATTCTGTCATCTTTTTGTGGCTGTTTCTTAAAGTCCGTCGATATATCTATCTACTAATCGTATCCGCCCACGCTAAGCCTGCTGTGATTGGTTGTTTTGTTTAGTCTTTGTTCTGGTGTTTTCCTCATGACGCTGATTTGGGACGTAAAAAATTGACGTCAATTAGTACTGTCTACCAATTTTGCCTAGCAGACAGTTCTTACCACACTTCTACTAGGTGTGCGAATACAGTAGCATCCAACTATTATGCCATTAATAATAGTAATCATATCTGTCGTCATTGAGCTAATTACACTCGTATTACCTTAAGTGAAATTGTTATTGCCTATAAAAAGTATTCAAACGTCTTGGTTATTATAATGCATTAAAATGTAGGGTGCAGCAGTTCTGCGGATAAGTTGTGGCGAAGCAGAATCTTAAGATTCTTATGCCTCTGTTTTTGCACGAGACACTGCAGCTTACCATCAGCATACAACACCGAAGGTGAATTCAAAGGCACAAAAAAAATACGTGAAATCGGCTAGTCATAGTGTAACAACAGAAGGCAAGGCATGGAAGCCGCCAAGGTATATTTTCCACTAATAGAGAAGCTTTGTAGCTAAGGTGGATGATTTGCAATTAATAGTGTTCTCTGAGCTGGTTGGTTTAGTTGCGAAGCTTTCGTCGTCCTTCTGGACAATATGGAAGAGGCGAAATTAGGCAGTTTGTCTTTTATTCCCGAACGCAGAAGAGGAGTGGCTTTAAAGATACAGCGTAATTCAGCAGCAGGGAATGCTCTTTTCACCGCATTTCTAAGGCGGTGCTGTGTTAGTATCTCACTGGTGTTATCTCCTAGGAACTATATCTGTAAGAATAAGGCCTTTTTTAGAACTGTTGGTAACTTGGGCTGCTTTGGTTTCAGGTTCAGATTCTTATCAATAAACTTTTCAGGATAACCATTCTCACTTAGCAACCGTTTAATATTGTTAAGTTTCTCGTCAAGACATTCGTCCGAGCAAATCTCTCTTGCTCTGTGGACCCAGCACTTTATTAGATTGCGTTTGTATTTCAAGGGCACAAAGCTGAGAAAATGTGTGTACTGGCCCGTTGATGTAGGTTGTCTATAAACACTTCTTCTTATTGTGCCGTCCTCTTTTATGGTCATAAGGACGTCTAAAAATGAAATACTAGAGTCTTTTTCTTCCTCAATAGTAAAATTTATTGCAGGATGTGCCTCATTAAATTTATCCAGGATGTTCTTTGCTTCCTTCTCGTTCTTCATAATCAAAAAAGTATCATCCGTGTACCGACAATAAAATTCGAATTCATTAATAACATCCTTCAAAGGCTCATTTTCTAGTTTCGCAAGGAAAATGTCCAGAAGGACGACAAAAGCTTCGCAACTAAACCAACCAGCTCAGAGAACACCATTAATTGCATATTTTCCACTAATGAAACCTCTGTATATATATATATATATTCACAGTTTATATTCGTTAACCAATCAATCACTGAGCGTGTGATTTCGATTTGCATCAAATGACAAGAAATAGAATGTTCAAATAGATATATAGTATTTTCTGTTTTGATTTGACACTAGTAACTAGTGTGATGCGTCTAGTCCTCTCTTTGGTGCAGACTGAATTCTATCAGTCAGGTTGTAATGTGGCCACCATTCTAGGTAGCTTGTCATCACGGTGTACATTGTTTGTGATGATATTAGATGGTTGGAGGCAATCGGCAGGAAGCCTTGGACCTAGGTTTCGTGCTAGTTGGCACTCTTCAGCAAGGCGTATCTGCAACCTTCAAGGAACTCATGTCCCTTCTGAGATTCGAACCCGCGTCACCCAGTGCTACCTGCAGTCAGAGACGTTACCACTGAGCTATTCGGGCTGGCGATTGACCTCCTGTAGGACTGTAGGTCCAAGGCTTCCTGCCGATTGCCTCCAACCATCTAATATCATCACAAACAGTATTTTCTGTTGCCAATGCAGTATTGAACTGTGGGAATATGTGTGCGCATAATATTCCGTTGGTAGACATTGTCTGTATCACACCACCACACTCGTACCCCCGTCAAAAACTTTCGACTGAAGTCTGTTCGACCTTCTTGGTACTGGCGGCTTTGTTAGCTTGTCTTGCTGTATCGTGTTCCGGAGCTCACTGACATTCACCCGCTCCTCTTTGTTTGCATTTATGATCGTATATACGCGACCCCGTCTCACGGTGACACCATGTATGGTCCTTCCCACTTTGTGGGGGCAGTTTGCATGACCCTGGCTCGTTTTTGCCGGTGTCGTCTCACACTATCATATGCTGCCGTCGTCCGACCTCCTAGCAGTCTTCCAAGTAACAGCGTCAGCGCTGATGGATATTGAACGCCACTCAACTGTGCGACAGCCTCGAATTCTTGCCCGACGATCCATATGTCTCCATCAAAAACTGCAGGACCTACGTTGTTCATTTGTCGGCAGGCAGCAACACCAAATATAACAACAGAAGGCAAGACACGGTATATTTTTCATTAATCAAACCGCTGTTTATATGTATCTACACTGTATATTCGTTAACCGACCACTGAGCGTGTGATTTTGGTTTACATCAAACGACAAGAAATAGAATGTTCTAATACACATACATAGTATTCTGTTGCCAATGCAGTATTGAGCTGTGGGAACATATGAAAATGAAATTCCGTTGGCATACATCGTCTGTATCACGCCACCACAATAGTACTATTCATAGTAGCAGTATTCGTAGTATAGGTATCACTAGTAGTAACAGTGGTCATAGTGTTTGTCTTTTGTTAGTCGTATTATTCTTAATTACTAATAGTAGTAGGTGTACTACTACTACTAGTACTACTTTTAGTAGCATTATTATTTGATAGTAGTGTAACAACAGAAAACAAGGGCCAGGCAACAGATCGTTTATTAAAGAAATCGACAGATATTTATAGATTTCCATGTACATTATTATTAGGGTTATTGTAAGCAAACAAACACAGTCTTCTGATTGGTTGTTTCTCTCTCTCTCTGAACGTTAATCTTTCATCTCGTTGTGACCGTTTCTTGAAGTTCACATTATCTATCTGCAAATTGTATCCGCCTACGCAAACAAAGTCTGCCGTGATTGGTTGTTGAGTAGTCAGCCTTTGATCTTATTTTTGTCTCATGACCGATATTGGGGGGGGGCGTACACATTGACGTAAATAACTATCTATCAATTTTGGCTAGCAGCCAGCTCTCACCACAGTAGGACCAGAAAAGAAGTATTAGTATTAGCAGATGTTTTATTAGCATAGCAGAAGTTGTATTTATAGTAATCACAGCAATATTAGTCGTGGTAGTAATGGTAATCGGTATATTAGCAGTGGATGTAACTCCAGTCGCAGTAGTACTACTACTACTGTGGTGTGTGCTACTGACAAAACTTAGCAGTAGTACACATAGACGCAGACTGTTGGGAAGCTATGGCTGCAAAGGTAGAAGTGTCCATTCCTCAAATCTAGACTTAGTTTACGTTGTGGTCAGGAAATAATCTCATTGGATAGTTTTTTGTCTCAAGGTTTAACCTTTCAAAGGCCGACGACCGTTGATCTAGCCGACCTTTAATGTGGTTAAAAGTGTATGAATAATGGTGTGCTTTTCCTTGGTGAAAAAGTCACTTACTAAGCCTCTTGTCTTCTATTACACTACCTACTACTGTATAACGTGTGATACTGATAAGATTTACCAGTAGTATATAAAGAGACGTTCGTCGTCATAACAACATCCAATAACAAGCAGATAGATTTGACGTTGGAGACAGCAAATGATTCAGCGCTGTGAAGAAACATGAGATGCCTTGAAAGAAACACAATATGAAGGCCATAAATAGGACAACACGGAAGGTGATCCGTACAAATGGTGGTGCGTTGAAGATAAGGTATGCAGAATTTGGTCATACAGAGATACCAAATTCCTAATAAACATTCCTTTATCAAGTCTTTTGTCTTCTACCGTTACACTACTACTAATAATAATACATAAATTAAAGATTGCAGTGGAATTGGCAGAAGTATCAGTTACACAGTATTTCATCATGAGCTGACATCATCGATTAAGCAATCACTGGAAAAACCAAGAAGCCATGGACAACTGTTTCGTCGCGGTTTGGGACTCTTCGGTGGTGTGCATCCACCGACAATGTCCGAATTCAGGACCTTCCGGTTACGAAGCAAGCTAGTAGACAGTTAGGCCATTGAAACCTGATCCAATAGGCCAGCCCATGAATCGCAACTTCTTCTAATTCACGATAGAGAGCGACGGATACCAGCCAATGTCATCGCTGACGGGAATTTTCAGCGTGCATTACAATATTGCAATTAATTACCTCATAAATTTTATAAGATTTTAAAAACAAAAAGCAACAACAACAAAAAGGAAAAAAAAATAAAAAAGAACAGCATTCACATTTTAAACAATGTACCACAGGATATGAAATATAAAATTAGTGTGTAATAGAATATGTGAGCAACAATATAATAATAACAAAGAAAGGAAAACAAAAACTAATGGGACTAATTGTTAGAGTGCCGCAGTAAGTTGATCGTGTCATACCTAACAGTTTTCTCATCACATAACAGCTGTGCCAGATAAGGTATTGTGGAGTATTTGTACTTGGTAGTCCTGGCATATAGCCTCCTATAGTTTCTTCTAGTTCTACCAGATGAAATGCAAGGAGAGAGCTGCGTAAAGAGAGGGTGTTCGGGGTCTGACAATATAGAATTCGCTAGTTTCTTACATGACATTATATGTCTATTCACAATGGTGTTAACCAGTTGGTTTAACGAAATCCCACTTCCCGTACTAACAGCTTTTAGTGCCCTACGCAGCGAAGCAAAGTCTTTCTTAAATAGTCCAGAAAAGACTAATGGGGAGCAGTAAAGAGGGATGGTTAGAATACAAAAGTTGACAAACTGAGAAAGCAAAGACTGCTTTATACCAGACTGCCTTAAGTTCCTCACGTAGAACGTTAAGCGAAACATCTTTCTAGTAACTGGTAAGATGTGAGAGGACCAGGAAAGATCGGAGGAAATACTCAGTCCAAGGTACTTGACATTAGATGTAGTTTCAACCTCTATGCCGTCAATGATAGTGGGACCATGTGAGCTAGCTAGTTGTTGAAGGTCACGTTTTCGTCTGAAAGTAAAATTTACTATCTGACATTTAGACGGATTCAGCTTAAGACCGTTTGAAGAGGACCACTGACTAATTTCTGAGAGAAAGTTATTCAATTTGGAACAGTCTGACTGAGAGTTGACAGGCATGGAGACAGAGAGGTCATCAGCATACTTGACAAAAGTGGCTACATCAGAATGGGGTAAGTCATGTAAGAAAAAAGAAAACAGAAAAGGAGAAAGAACAGCACCTTGAGGAACACCAGCTA